GGTCTGCAGGGAGAGATAAGGACAGGTCTCTGCTGGACGCTCTGTTCACGGGCAGTGAGTCAGGGGCTCAGCTGGGCCTCCCAATTCCTGCCTCCTCCCTTAGGCTGCTTTTCCAGCTACTCAGCAACTGTGTGGAGGGAGGAATGGCTTCCAGGCACACCCTTTATGTGCACAGACAAGACCAAGGGCCAGAAATCCAAGCTGAGCAGCGGTGCGGGGAGCACTCGAGGGCACGTGAGGGGCTGCAGCAGATTTGAACATCAGACCCGCAGTAAAGCAAATGCAGAGTCCAGTTTGACTAGACCATCGGTGTGGGGCTTCTCTGCCACAGGGGCGAGTTGGGGCCGGGCCCATACTGCGTATGTGACGCCCGGGAACTTAGGTCATTCGTCCTACCACCTCTTAGTCTCCCTACCAAGCGTCTGGTCCCTTCCAGGGGTCACTGGCCCAGCGAGACCCAGTACCTCCCTGGGGCCACACAGCAAGCCTTCTGGGAGAGGGCAGCTGGAGGGCCGGGGGCTGGGTCACAGCAGCGTAATCTCACTGGGGGGCAGCGTGAGCCGCTTCTCACGGGCACTGAGCAGGCTCTCCACGTGCACGGCCACCACCCGACACAGCTCCAGGCCCTGCAGGAGAGATGGTGAGAGTCCACGCGGCCAGAGACACTCCCCCAGCTCTCCCCTTGGGGTGAGATGTAGTTGGGAGAGGACTGGCGGGTCCCACCCTTGTCTCCGCCTCCCGGCTGGAAAGGGTCAGTAAGCAGGAGACCAGGCGCATCGGCCACCTTTGCTGCGTGTGACCGGCGTGACCTAGGGCTGGTGACTTCAGCTCTCAGAGCCTCAGCGGCCTCATCAGTAGGGTCTCGGTTTCCCAGGGCCTGCCTCACAAGGCTGCAGGGAGGATTCTGTGAGATTTTATTACATGGAAACCCTTTAAATGGAAAAAATGAGTCTAGTTGATAAGTGGTAAGTGTCTAGTGATGTGTTGCCATGGTTACCACGGGGCACCCAGGGCAGAGAATAAGCCATGGGCCAGCCTCAGGGCTCCCAGATGGCGAGGGGAGGAAGAGGCGGCAGAGAATTGTGGAAAATCCACCTGAGAGTGGTTCTCAGACCACAGGCGGCGGGGGCATCCCTGCAGGGATCTGCGAGGGGCCACGGGAGCTGCCCTGACAGAGGTAAAGAGAAAGGACAGGGACTGAGCCGTGACTGTGTGCCATGCACCGTCCCGAAAGTTCCTGCAGCTTACCCCTTCTCGTCCACACCGTATCCCTATGAGGCAGACACTTTTACACCCCATTCCACCGGCGAGGAAACTGAGGCCAGAACTCTGAAAACACTTGCCCCAGACCTCGAAGCTGGTAGGCAGGTGGTGGGGACTTGAACCCAGGGGGTAAGAGGCCCAAGGCCCCACTCCGAAGCGATCTGTGCTGACGTCAGCGGTGCCTGCCCCACGCTTGGGGGGCCCCCTCGGGGGATGAAATCAGGGCATGCATGATGGGCATCGTCCACTCCAGCCAATGCTCCAGCCAACCCTCCCACCCACGTGCAAAATGCGAGGCCTCCCTGGAGCCGTGGCCCCACCTGACAAGTGTGGAAACTGAAGCTCAGTAAGAAGTGGGGCGCCTTGACATCCCCCTCATGCAGCCTGTCAGAGGTGCGCGAGACGGGGACCTAGGTCTGTCGGCTGCGCTGCCGCAATACTCAGCATCACCTCCTCTTGGAAGCCCTCACTGACTACATCCCAGGAAGCTCAGCTACATCCTTCTCAGCACGGATCGTGGGCTACTGGAGAGATTCTTTGACTTGGGGCTCGGTGAGGGCCAGGGCTGAGAGGGTCACAGTGACCTCAGTTTCCCTGTAACCAGTGCACAGCCTGCTACGTAGAGATGTTCAGTGGTCACATGTTGAATCAATGAATGAATGCACCACCACCACCCCCCCCGCCCCAAACATGCCAGAGGCAGAGGCAGCTGCATCAAAGGGGTTGGGGTCTGCAAAGAAGTGGAAAAGCCAAAAAGGACCCATCCAACCATCCATCCTACCAACCACTTTCTGAGTATCTACTACATGCCAGGTGCGGTGCTTGGGACACAATGGAGACAAAACAGACACAGAGCTGGCCTCTTGGGGCTGGCATTTTGGTGGGGGAAACAGACAATATGTAAACAAGTAACTGATCTGCAAGCCCTAAGGAGTTCTACCAAGGTGAAGATAGTAATATATAAGGGAGAAGGTCAGGGAAAGCTTCTGGAAAGAGGTGATGCTGTGCTGCACCCAGATAAATGGAAGGACGGGGAGAGCCCTGGATCGAACCAGGGAAGAGGGGACAAGGAGTGCAAAGGGTCTGGGGCAGAGAGGTGAGGGCAAGCTTGGCATCAGGGAGCTGGAAGAGGCCAGGGTTGCGAGCAGAGGGTGGGGGGGTGGTGAGAGCAGAGGCCAGAGAGGTAAAGAGAGGAGGCGACGGGGAGGAAAAGGGCCCCTGGGTTAGGGCCCGAGAGTGCCTGGGAGGGTTCTCAAGTAAGGCCTGTTGGTCTCCAGGGGAGATGATGAGAGGTCAGGGCAGGAGACAGAAATATGGGGGCTGTCACAGCAGAGACGGTTGCCTCAGGGCCAGAAAGAGTGCGGGGCGAGGGGCTGAGACTTGGCAACATTCAGACATCATCCAGGGGAGGGGGCAGCAGAAAAGGAGCCCAAGAAGGAGCATAAGGTAGGTTCACTGTGGTGTGAGCTCAGAGAGGAAGGTTCTGGGAAGCAGGCCAGGCCAGAAGTAAGGCCAAGACTGGGGGTGAGCTTGGCAGGAGCGGAATTGGGGTGTGGTGGGAAGCAGACTTGGTCTGGCTTGGTCCTGAGTTGCAGCTCTCCAAGAGGTACATGGAGCCGAAAGGGCTCTTTTGTGTCCCTCAGAGGCAGGGCTAGGGTGGTGGGAGTCCCTCCCTCTTGCCCTGGGAGGTCGGCCCCTCCAAGGCAGGCCCTGGTGTGGGGGCCAGTCCTAGGCCCAGATCTTGAGGGGATGTGGAAGGCTGGCAAGGGCAGACATGTGTAGGCCCTAGTCCTGGTCCCACACCTTCCCTGGGCCTCAATCTTCTCTCCCCAGTGGGATGAGAACTCTCACCCCAGGGGTGTGAGACTTGGACAGGAGTCTAGAGGTCAGCCATGCCTTTTAAGAAGCAGCCACAGTTGCTAAAAATATGGGAAGATACAGGGCAGGTGGACCTCAGTTTCTCTGTCTGTCACATGAGGACCCCACCCTCTACCCTCAATCCCAGGCCTCACCATCCATCTTCCAAGCCTCAGTCCAGGTGAGCTTCCTCAAACTTCCTGTGTCCCTGCCCTCTTACCAACCTTCTGTGGCTCCCTAGTGCCCTCAGGAGAATGCCCCGGATTCTTAGGTTGACATTTAAAGGCTTTTCAGACCTTCCCTGCCCTGGCTGTGTCTCCCCAGTTCCCCAACAAACTCCTCAATATTCTGCAAATAACCTGGGCCCTTTCCCATGAGCCTACCACTAAGATGCTTCATTGGGAGACCACCCGAATGACCTACAGTTTTTGCTCAGTTGGGTTAGCTCTGTCCCCAGCACTGGGCTGGATGGATGCTCCCTGGGGCACCTTGGACCTACCTTGGAGCCAGGCCCAGCAGAGAGCCTGGTGGGTGGAATGAAGGAGGGAGGGGCTGGGTGACAAGGCCTGGGTGCCGGGGCTGGACCCACCTGCTCCAGCTGCAGCTGCATGGTGCGCTGGGCCGCCACATCCCCCAGTGCAATCTCCACATATGGGTAGCTGGAGTTGGCCGTGGGTCGCTGGGTTCGAGTTGACTGGATCTCCTTCAGGGGGATCTTCACCATCAGCTCCTACAGGGAGAGGGGAGGAGATAGGCTTGTGGGTGGGACAGCCTCACCCACCCTTACCTCTCCCCTGCAGATCAGATCCATAGGAGGCAGAACTTCTGGGCTGGAGCACCAGTTCCCTAGGACTTGCTGTGTGACCTGGGGCAAGTCGCTTCACCTCTCTGGACTTCAGTTTCCTCACCTGTGAAACTGATTCCACAAATACAGACGCACCCATCGACAGTGTGCCGGGCGCTGTTCTGAAGCCTTGGGAGCTAGGGGTGCAGTAGGTGCCAGTGGTGCCCTGACCTTCCCTTCAAAGCTACTTCTCAACATCTGCCCCTCTTTGTCTGGAGCTTGCTTTCTGCCCCCAGGAGCAAAGCCCAAGCCCGTGCACAGAAATCCAGAGCAATGGGAGTTAGTGATAGAGAGCGACAAGGTGGGTAGACACCCCGGCTCCCTCGCCCCCAGAACAGAGGGCATCCTTCGAGGGGCGTGTTCCAGGCTGTCTCCAGCGCCAGTTCCCACAGCGGGAGCTTGCTGCTCACACACCCTTCCAGAAAGTGTGTTCCCAAGTTGTGTGAGACGTCCCTTCCTGGTCTCACTTCCTCACTCCAGTGTCTCCTAGAATCACCTGCAATAAAGTCCTAACGCCCCGTCCCTCAGAGTGTGAGTGTATTTGGAGACAAGGCCTTGAAAGAGGAAACGAAGTTGAAATGAGACCACCAGGGTGGGCGCAATTCAAATCCGACCCGTGTTCTTAAGGAGAAGAGGGAGCTTGGACACGACGAAGACCCCAAGGATGTGTATGCCGAGAAAAGGCCAGTGAGGAAGGAGAAGGCGGCCATCCACACGCCAAGAAAGAGGCCTCGGGCGGGGCTGGGGGTGGAAACCAACTGCTCTCCGGCTTCGGGCCTCCAGACGGGGGAAGAATCAGTGTCTGGACCCGTGCGCTATTTACGTGAGCGCCCACCGCGGCTGACCTTCACCACAGCCCAATGGGGTGGGTTCTGCCGTTGCACCCATGTCAGGGACGGGCCCGTGAGGCTCAGAGCGGGGCGAAGCCGGAGCCTGCTGCGTGCCGGGGGCCCAGCTCAGCCCCCGGAGGTGGTGCGGACAGGGGGCGGGGCCGGGCGGGGCCGGGGCGGGGCCAGGCTCCGGCCACTCACGTGGGTCTCGGCGCTGAGGAAGTTGAGGCCATTCTGGTTGACGGCAAGGATGCAGGGGGCTGGCACCGAGGCGTTGCTGCAGCTCTGGACGAAGAAGAAGGAGGAGCCGAACATGGGTAGGGCGCTGATGAGGCCTGGGGTGGGGAGAAGAGGGGCGGTCGGTCAGGCTGCAGCCTGCGTCTTCCCTCGGAGGCTGCGTCCTGCGTCGAGCATACGTGTCCTCACCCCAGGGCTCCTCCCGCCTCTCCAGCACCCGCCACCCCCATCTGCCCAGGGCCGCCCAGAGCCTCGGTGGTGCCTTGGTGAACATTTTAGAAAGATGTTCTCTCCAGGCAGGTGCTTGGCTGGGCTAGCACCGAAAATGCCTTTGTGCAAAGAAAAAAGTGCCTCCCTCCCCACCCTCCAGGAGCACCCCTCGCTTATCTGCCCCAGCCGCAGGCGCTTACCCAGAAACTGGGCACGGGCCTGGTGGGGGCTGAGCGCCTGTGACTGCTGCTGGTGCTGGCCCAGCAGGTTGAGCCAGGCCGAGCCGGCCAGGGTGCGGTACAGCTGGGCCGGGATGTAGTCCTGCACCTCTCGCCTGCGTGTGGAGGGATAGCGGGCCTGAGTGCCCACGGTCACACGTGCCCTGCACGCGGTCTCAGTCATCCTCGCCACGGGGCAGGTGTTAGGCCAAACCGACATGATCTTTGCACCTCCCCGGACGACTAAATGCTGCCTGTCAAGTGGGCTCACTCGGCACCTTGGTCCATGGCAGGGGCTCCATGACCGTGGCCCCTATCCATGACCGTGGCCCCTACCACTAAGCTCCCTGTGTGAGATGAGGGGATTGAGGCTCCGAAAAGTTCCCTGACTGGCCCCGGGTCACACGGTGACTGAGTGAACTAGGGGGCCGAGGCTTGAACCCAAGGTGGGTTAGTCCTTTGTAGCCCCAATCCCCAAGGGGAAGCCCAGGCCATAGGGGTGAGACGCACTGGGGCAGGGGGAATATGCTGGTGGGGGTGGGGGGCAAAGTGACCACCAGCAGCAGCGGGTCAGAGCATGGAGCAGAGCAGCGTGGGGCTCCAGGCTGGACCCGTTGGGCCAACAGAGCCCCTACTCCAGTCCCTTCTGTTTGGATCCTAGTTTCCCCACCTATTAGTTGGGTAAGCTTCAGTAAGCCCTGTAACCTCTGTGGGCCTCAATTTCCTTGTCTGTAAGGCGGAAAATAAAGATTAGCTGCGATGATGCACGCAAAATGCCTTCCAAAAAGTAAAACTCAGTGATTTTTTTTTTTTTTCCAGGATTGGGATTATAGCTGTACGTGCTTCCTTCGCCTTTTGCCTAAAATTGGAACATAAAAAGAGTTTTACGGAGACAGCGTACCTACCTACGTTATCTCACTATTATTCATACCAGGGCTTCTCAGGCTGTGGCCAAGGGCCTGGGAGGTCAAAGCCATTTCCCTGATAACATTAAGAGCTAAGATGTTACTTGGCCTTTTCCCCTCCTGTTCTCGCACAAGTGGAATTTGCCAGAGGCCACATGACCTGTGAGATCCCAGCTCACCGACCGCAGAAGCACATCTGACCAGCTGTCTTCTGTTAGGCCAGTTGGTAAAGAGATGGGCAAAACGTAAACTCGTGCCACTCTCCGATTTTTTAGGAAAATACAGTTGTTTTTTAGAAGTTGTTTGTATCGGCACATAATTTACATTGCTTGAGTTATAACTGCTTTTCACGTGATTTTAGAACTACAGTTATTATACAGTTATTTATACTGTTTAATACATTATCCTTATTTTTCAAACAAATATTTGAAGTCGTTTCTCAGTTTCAGTTTTCAATACTGTAAGTACGACCCACATAACGAAAGCTCTTTGGGGTCCTATGTTTAAGAGCAAAAATGTTCTGAGACCAAAAGCCTTAGGATGACTGATGTATCACCTCTTTGGGGACATAGGTTGAAAGGCTGCCTGACACCCAGGATTTATTTAAGGAATCTCCTATTGTTGGGGATTGAGGTTGTGGTACCGCGGTGAACGTTTCTGTGGCCGAATCTTTCTGCGTGGCCACAGAAACCTGTTTTTTTGTGCATCTCCAAAGCTTTTTTATCGTTCCATTTTCTCTGAGCTGTGAAGACCCACCAGACGCAAAGTGTTGCGGAAGGAGGCTGAGTCCCAGCTCACGGTGGGTGGTGGAAGATTTCGGCCCCAGGGCCAGGACCAGCCCCCGCCCCCCACCTTCCCAGCCAGCTTGGCAGATGCGGGTGCAGGAGCGGAGTGCTGGGGCCTGGAAGGGCCCTCGGCGGGGCGGGGTGAGGGGTGTGCTCACACACTGGGCAGGTAGGAGTGGTCCTTGGCCCGATGCTGCAGGGAGGCCAGCTTGGACATGTGCTGCAGCTGTTGCTCGCTGGGCTGACCGGCTGGCACGCTGCTGAACAGGCCCTTCAGGTAGTCGGGCAGGACCTGCGGGGGACAATTCCGATCAGGGGCTGCAGGCAGGCCTGCACTCACGCTTTCCTCTGAGGAAGACGTGAACACACGCGATTTTAATAGTTCCGCTCCCGCCCGTTTCTGGGCTGGGGTGGCCGGCCACCCTCCTGGGCTTTGGGGAACACTGAGAGGCATGTGAGGGTGAGCGGGGAGGGCCGTGGCCCTGAAGGCCACATGGGAGTCCCCACAGTGGCCAAGGAAGAGTGTCATGGACATCTGCATTGCAGCACTCAGGAATGGCCAGTGGGCCGGGGATTCTGAAAACTGAGCATGCACCCAGAGTCGCTATAGCTGGGAAGGCCTCAGATGCCAAGGCTGTGCAGTCTGACTTCGCACAGGGGAGTGTGGAAGGTTCCAGAACCCCAGAGTGGACCACATGTGCTGACCTGGTTGTAGTGCATGGTCACGTAGAGCTCATTCTCGAACTTGAGTGGCTGATCCCAGAGCACACGCCGGAACCAGAGCATGCAGCCACCATCCACCTGCTCCATCTCCAAGGCCACGTCCAGGATGTAGGCACAGCGGCTGAGCGGGCACACGTGCTGGCCTGTGGAGAGCCGGGGGTGACTGCAGAGCGTACGTGCAGAGCCTGGGCGAGGCCCTTCCCGCTCCAGCATGTGGAGTCCTTCCTAAAGGGGAGCATGTGTATGGAACAGGGTGCCCTATGTCTGCAGAATGCTGATGAGCAGAGCTGGGAATAATTCCAGTCCAAGCTACAGCCTATCTAGGTCTCAGAAAGTGTCCTGGGTTATGCTCCGAGGAAGCCCAGCCCCTTTCCAGAGGAGGCTGGGGACAGGGAGAAGCACCACAGGCCGCAGATCATGAGACCCATGGGTGCTTTTCTACAGAACTCCCTCAGGAGAGACCCCTTGCCCAGCTCCTGGAATGGGTTGGGGGTGGGGAGGACTGGGGCCTGGCAATGAGGGGGTCTGAGTCTGTGAGGGAGGTTTAAGTTTTTCCTTCTTGCATTGACCTTCCTGCTCCCCATCCCACATCTTCAGTAACATTTTACCAAAGAGGGGGTGTGGCATGATGACAAAGTCCAGACTCTTGAGGCTAGACTGCCCGGGTTCAAATCCCCACGGTGTGACCTTAGGGAAATCCCTTAACCTCCACTGAATAATGGACCCCCTCCCCAGAGAGGTCCATGTCCTACTCCCCAGAACCTGTGAATATGTTTGCCTTCATGGCAAAGGGACTTGGCAAATGTGCTTAAATTAAGGATTTGGAGAAGGGGAGATTATCCAGGATTATCGAAGTGGACCCGATGTCATCTCAATGGTCCTCAGAAGGAGAGTTAGGAAGGTGAGAGAGAGAGAGAGAGAAAGGTTTGAAGATTCTACACTCTTGCCTTTGAAGATGGAGGAAGGGGCCAGGAGCCAAGGGGTGTGGGCGGCCTCTAGAAGCTGGAGAAGGCAAGAAAAGGGATACTCCCCTAGAGCCTCCAGAAGGAGCCAGGCTTGCTGACATTTCAGGACTTGTGACCTTCAGAACCGTAAGATAATATATTTGTGTTGTTTTAAGCCACTAAATATGTGGTAATTTGTTATAGCAGCCACAGGAAACTTATTCAACCTCCCTGGCCCTCAGTTTCCCTGTCAATGGGGCTGATCACCGTCTACTTCGTAAGGTTGCTGCCGGGCTTAAAGGAGTTTTACAATTAAAATGCTTGGAACTGTGCCTGGGACACCGTATCTGGTCCATAAATGTCAGTTATGAGGACCATTTTGTTACCACTGCCCCGCCCTGTCTTAGCTGGACCCGGGCAGTCAGGACTGAGGACACACAGTTCAGAGCCCAGGCAGCAGCGACAAGGGCTGGGTGCAGGTGGCTGGGGCCGACCACGGGGGCAGGAGGCAAGACCACGGTCTAGAGTGGGCCGCAGATGGAAGGGGCTTTGGGCCGCGTGAGAAGGGCCAGGCGGGACCACTGTTACAGCCTGAGAGACAGGCGGGCCCCAGAAGCCAGGGCCTACTCAAGGAAACTTCCCAGGACGTGAGCTGCTTGAGGGCAGGGCCCATGGGCTCCCGCTGAGCAAGCCGCTGTCCTCCATGAACTTCCAGTCTGGTAGGCAAGACCAACGTCCAGAGCTGGGGCTGCTTGGCGCACAGGAAAGTTCTTAGGCATGGCAGCCCGGGGCTCCCTGAAGGAAGTGGCATCTGACCTGGGCCTTACAGGCTGGGCCCAGCGTCCCTAGTCCTGGCCGCTCACCTCGGTTGGTGACGACAAAAATGACATACTCGCTGAAGGCCTCGGGGCGTGTCAGAGCCATCTCGGCACAGATTTCTTCCACCATGTCCAGGGCCACCTGGAGGGAGGGAAGGGTGAGGCTGGGCCAACTGAGCCGATCTCCGTCCTCACAGTCGGCCCAGGCCCCGGGAAGCCAAGCACAGAGTTCCTCAGGCCCCCTGCAGGTACACGAACGATCCTCTGAGAATCGGCCTCATGCAGGGAAGGAGCACAGCTCTTGGAGTCTGAGAGACTCAGGGTTCAGATTCTTCCTTGGCAGTATGACCCCTCACCTCTCTGAGACTTGGTCTGCTTCCCTGAGACATAAGTCCTGCCCTGCCTGGCTCAGCACCCTTGGGGGCCCACCAGTCTCCCTCCAGCACCTGCCTGCCAGAAACAGTCCCTCACGTACAGTGCACGTTTTGATTTTGAGATGGCGTTCAAGGCCTCCAGGGAGAAGAAAGAGCTGCCTCTTGGAACTGCGGCCCGCCTGGGACAGAGAGAGGGGAGGACATGAGAAAGGCCAGGTCCTGGGATCTGGGCCAGCAATTGTCCCCGGCCATGGAAGTCCCCCAAGCCAAGGGGCTCTGGACCGGCGTGGGCAGGAACACTTGTGAACGCTGAGTGCCCACAGGGTCTCTGGGCAGGGCTCCTCTTTCACGCCCCTCCTGACCCCACCCCACGCTCACCAACATGGCCCGAAGCTCCATGCTGCTGGGGAGCTCCACGCGGCCACCGAAGCGCAAGGTTTTCTGCAGATTCTGTTCGCAGGCCTTGGCAATACCTGCAGAGACGGGGAGTCAAGGCCTTGCCCAGGGTAGGCAGTGCGAGAAAGAGGCTCTTCCGGCCACCAGCCACGAGCCCACTGGTTTCTCTCCACAATCTATGGGGCATTTCCTCTCCCACGTGGTCGCTGAGGAAACAGCCCCGAGAGGGGCAGGGATTTGCCCAAGGCTGAGGGCTGCTATATAAGAACTGCATTCGAACCCACATCCCATGTGGTTAAAGCCTTTTGTCTAGCCCACGGTCCCCTTGGCTACCTTTGAGCCTTGGAAAATAGCTGTCACCTCCAGCTGCTGACCAGGGGGTATGTCCCCCCGCCAGCTGGAACCCCCTTGCCAACCACCCTCCCTCACCCAGAGTCCGGTGCAGAAGACTGCACCGTCTGTTTCTCAGGGTTAAAGAGTGCCCTCACCCTGCTCTGGGGAGGAGATGGAGGCAAGACTTCTGGGCACATCCCGCTGCCTCCACGGATCTGGGAGCCCTTCCCTGCGGGGGAGCTGGGTCTATTCATCTCACAGTCTGGGAATGTTAACTGAATCAAAGAGGAGGACTCGGGGGCAGGCAAAGTGAGGTGCCCTATCTCCTTCATGACTGCCATGATGACCTTTTTCTTAGGCGGAACCCAGGGGTTGCTCTGGAAACAAGGGTCGGGGTAAGGCTGAGGCCTGGCCCCTTTCCTCCAGACTCCAAGTGGGGAAAGGCTGAGACCCTGCCACCAGCTGGGTCTCACCCCTGCCCAGACCCACTCAAGACCCTCGTGGATTCGCAATGGCCGAGAGAGAAGCAAGGCCTCACCCAGCACACCAGGCCCTTGCTGCCTCCTTCCTTCTCCCACATGCCACACAGTCCCACCTCCAGGACTTTGCTCCTGCCACTGGGCCCACCTAGAAGTCCCTTCCACGTGCTCACTACTCGGAGTCACCACTCACCCTCACCTTGGAAGGGCAGGCCTGGAGTCCGGCTCGCGTCCTGGAGGAAGCGAACGAGGTGTGGCTGGAGGACCTCGGAGCAACTGTGGTAGGCAGCCATGATGTACAACAGCCTCCAGCCTCGCAGGCAGCTGTCCCTGAGGGCACACGCACACAGGGCCACATCACAGGTGCCCGCAGCCCTGGAGTGCCGCTCCAGGAGTCTCCTGGGACGCGGCTGGACGTCTCCGGCTCTCAGGCAGCTCCTGTTTGCTGAGGGTGCTCCCTGGCCAAGGAGGGGGGGGGGGCCACAGCCATGCAGGAGGTACATTCTGCTTGGGATGCCAGGGTGGGCGACAGGGAGAGGAGGAGATGAGGTCCCTGAC